TGCTTCCTTGTATTGTTATGTCATGTTCCCAACTGAATTGTAAACTTTTAGAGAGCAGTCACCGTGTGTTATGCTTTTCTTTGTATTCTCCCCAAGTGCTGGAGTTAGCACTAGATACAGACAAAGAAAAAAGGGGCCATCCGTTGTCAGCTCCCTTTTCTCAAATCTACATCTTAAATCCCTTCAAAATCCCCTGTTTTCCTCTCATTTGCTTTAGCCTCAGAAGAAGAGGTGGCTCTTCTCCTCACCAATCCCAACTCCTCTACTTCTGCCTTTGATCCCATCCCTCTTCCAGATTTTCCCTTTTGATGATCCCTTCTCTTTCTAGGATAGCTAGGTGGTGCAGTGGATAGAGTGTCTAGCCTAGAGTCAGGAAGCCTTATCTTTACGTGTTCAAATTTGGCACCAGACACTTACTAGCTGTGTGACCCTGGGCAAGTCACTTAACCCTGTTTTCCTCAGTTTTGATATCTGTCAAATGATCTGGGGAAGGAAATGGCAAACTGCTCCAGTGTCTTTGCCAAGAAAACCCCAAATGGTAATATGAAGAGTCAGACAGGACTGAAATGACTGAACAATATATGAACAAAGAACTTTATATACAAAAGTTTATGTAACCCACTGAACAAATCTTTATTCTAAAGTCTCACCCCAGGCTTTCCTGTGTCTACAAAAACATTCAAATCTTCCCCATCCTTAAATCTTCACTTGACTCTTACTATTCCCTCAAACTATCATCCTATTTCTCCCCATTTCCTCAGTTCTTAGCCTCTTGCCATCTGTCTTCTGATCCCACTACTTATCCGAAACGGCTCTTTCCAAGGTTACGGGTGATTGACAAATTAATTAGCCTTTTCTCAGTCCTCAATCATTCTTGACCTCCTTTCAGCACCTGCCATTGTTTTTTTCAACCTTACTCTCCCTGTACACTCTCTCTTCCTTCCTGACTGCCCCTTCACCTTTGCTGGATCATCACATAAGTGTCAATCACCATGTGTGGACATACTACAGGGTTCTGCCCTGGACCCCCTTCTCTTCTCCTTCTACACTCTTGATGATTTCATCAGTTTCTATCGCTTCATCTCAATGTAGATAACTCCTGAATTTTATACATATTCATCCCTGGCTTTCTCTTGAGCTTTCTGTGCCATTATTAAATGTGCACTGACATTTTCTCCTCAATGTCCCATAGGCATTTAAAATCCAACATGTATAAAAGAGAACACTTTTTGCTTCTACACCTGCCACTAACCTTCTTCTTTCTGTTGAATGTTTCAGAATCTTTTCAGTCACCTTAATTCATATCCTTAGACTCTTCAATCTCTTCACCCTACATACCCAAATAGTTGCCAAGTTTTGCTGGTTCTCTCGACAAAATCTCTTATCAAATTATCTTTTCCCCACTTATACCACAATCAACCTGGTTTGTGCCCTCAACATCTTTTCCCCCGAATTATTCTGGTAACTTAACTGATCTTCCTTATTCCACTCTCCCAGCTCCAATTTATCTTCCACACAGCTGTCAAACTGGCATTCCTAAAGCACAGATTTGACTCCCTACTCAGGAAGCTCCCTACTCTCTCTAGGATAAAATCTAAATTCCTGTTTGGCTTTTAAAGCCTTTCACAACTAAGGGTTGTAGTAACTAGATTTTTTTTTCTTTCTTTACTTTTTTTTCCCCCCAAGGCAATTGAGGTTAAGTTACTTGCCCTGGGTTACACAGCTAAGAAGTGTATGAGGGCTGATTTGAACTCAGGTCCCTTTGACTCTAGGGCTGCTGCTCTACCCACTACACCACCTAACTGCCCAACTAGATGTTAAAAATGGGCTATAAGTGGAGATTATTAAACTAAGCCAGATAAAAAAGACAGCGGGTCTAATTCAAGAGAAATAGAAAAGGATCTACTTCAAGAGAAGAGAGAAAACATGCTCAAATATTGTATGACTAGTTAGAACAAGTAGGTCCTAGTTGTGTAGCTATTTAGTAAGCAGAACATCATTATTTCTTTGTGAATAACCTCGGACTTTGTCTTGAAAAGTGACTCATTATGCTAGTTTAATAATTTTGTTGCTATACTTTGCTTTTACATCATTTTCATTTCCAAATACTTTCTCGTCCACTCCCTTCCCCAGAGAGCTATGCTCTGTAATGGAGAATTTGAAAAGGGGAAAAATCAGTTTAGCAAAACTAACAAATCAACCATGTCTTACAGTATATTCAATTTAATGCATTTAAAAAAATCTCCAATCAGATATATTCCTTCTTAACCTGGAATTTGAAGCTCTCTGCTTACACTATACTTCAGTCACAATGGACTACTCCACATCTTTTTAAATACCTCCACCACTTTTTCTGTTCTGCCTTTGTTGATACCATCTCACTGTTCCATATATCTGCAAAGACTTACCTTATTTCCTACTCTATATCTTGAGATCTTATCCATCACTCCAGGTCCAGCTCAACTACTACATCCTTTAAGAAACCTTTCTTGGTCACACTCCTCCCTGGATGGAAATAACTTTTCCTTTCCCTGACTTTCCACAGTGCTTTCTTAAGAGGACTCGTTCTATAATATCCTTTGTGACACTCCTGTTTTATTATGATGCATAGTCGTATATATTTGTGTCTTCTTGCTAGACTGTAAAGTTCATGAGGACTGGGACCCTGTCTTAATAATAATAATTTATATTTTCCCCAGTATCTAGCACAGTGTTTTATACAAAGTAGTACTTAATAAATGAATTATGGTTTTGGAAAGCAGTAATTCCTCTTGCATCTTCTCTAAATTCAACTAATTCTTTTGAAACAGAAGAGGTTGTCCAGAAAACAGGAAGCATAAGACAATTTTCAGTTTGCCTTTCAGAGCCTTATGGAGGGGCAGCTAGGTGGTGCAGTAGACAGAGCTCCGGTCTTGGAGTCAGGAGGACCTGAGTTCAAATCCGGCCTCAGATACCTGACACTTATTAGCTGTGTGACCCTGGGCAAGTCACTTAACTCTGATTGCCTCACCAAAACCCAACAAATAAATAAATAAATAAAAATAAAGCCTTATGGATAGTTGTGAATATGGATTAAATCAAAATGGTCCGATTATGTTGATAGCTCTGTATAATGGGTGGCAAGGGGAATACTGAAAGTACTCAATAGTAGCACTTAAAACTGAGCCTTAAGATTTCATTAAGACTTTCTGAATTTACTCCCTGAACTGAAGAAATCACAGAGAAAAATCATATTTGTTAAGCAAGTTAATTCTAAATTTTTAATTTCAAACCTACGTTAGTATTATAGTCATCTGGGACAGGGGTCAGCAGACTAATTATTTATGAGTACAGTCAGTAGAGCTAAACACACTCTCAATCAGATTGTGAGCTCCTTGAAGGCAGGGACTGTCTTTTGCCTCTTTTTGTATCCCCATCACTTAACACAATGCCTGGAGTATAACAGGCACTTAATAAATGTTCATTGGTTGACTGGCTGGCTGTTGATGCCACTGGAAGAATAAAGGCATAGACAAAGAGAAGAAAAAGAGAGGTGAATATGGCAGAGAATGCAGTCAGGGCAATCAACAATTGTAGAGGATTCTACTTAACGTACTCACTACCAGAAACTAAACAACACGGACTGAGGTTTGGAGACCATCCAATTGTCTTTATCTAAATCCACTACATAGGTTGCGATAGTATCAGCCTTATTATTTCTAAAAGCAAGAGCACATATTAAGCTATTATTATAGTATCAGTTTTAACTTTCTGTAAATCTGCAACTTCTCATTTGGACAACTTGCCAACTTTATAACTGAGTAAGCCAACATTTTTCTCTCTAACATATTTTCTTAAAAGAGCTTTGTAATTAAATGATCAGATTCTCCATGAAATCCATAATGCTTGTGTTTGAATCAAATCAAAGGAATTTGCTTTAATGTTGGTTTATAATGAACTGTCCTGAAACTATTTTAAAGGACATGCACTGTTGCTAATTTAGAACATGCTCAGAAAGGGACTAAAATCCTTTATTTTGCTTTTATGAGTGGTTTGTTCACCAGAGATTAAACTAAATGAGCAGTGCCTACCACTAGTTGCACTATAAACTATTATTTATAAGTTTGGCTTCTATTTCTTCGGTCTGCATTTCCTGTATGACCATTTAAAAAATACTGGAATTACTTGGCAGATATCACAGGGTAGAGCACACATCTTTGCTTAGTGTTTAGATTTTCTGGCCACATTACATTCCCAAATCTCTGCATTTTGGCTTGCTTGCAAAATTCATGATGAAATCACTGGCAGTAGAAACAATATGTTTGCTGCTCTCCCACATACCTGTGGCCCAATTTTGCATGTGAGCAATTCCTATTAAACTTCAACAGGCACAGACGGGTGATTTGGGGCACTGTTGATTACATAAGTAGCTGAGGCAGCCCAGAGATGATATTCTACTTGAACAGAAATCTTTCTCAATGTTGGCAAAGCTACAGGTCACCATGAATCAAATCAGACAACTCCTGGTTATCAGACCGTATCACTGTATGACTAATACAAGTGATATTGCTAACACTGTCTGGTGCTAACTAGTTTAAGAGAAATATACTATTTGGGTACCCTGTACAGACTGTGATTATACAGGTTTAAAGGCATAGCTAGGTTATAAATATTTGTTACTAACTGATCTATACCATCAGTGAGTACCCACATTGATGAAATAACCCATCTGTTAAAATATTGCATATAGGGTGATGAATACAATATAGCCTGTTTATTTTTCTGGTTATATATACATACATACACACACACACATACATATACATATACATATATATACATATACATATACACACATACACACATATGTATGTGTGTATATATGTATGTATATTAGAAATAAAATCACATGATCAAATGAGAAATGAAAAGCATACTTTATTTACCAAGACCTCTAATCTGTGTATTTGGAGAAAGAGAGAAAATTTTAGAAATTTTGGAAAACATTAAAATTAACTTACTGATTTGTTCTACAAGCTTGAGCATGACTCCCCCAATATGTAAGTCTCCAGATACTCTAAGTGTGAATTCTTTTTGTTCCTCTTCATACTGGTGATCAACACGGATGATAAGCTCCCAGGAGGTGGTTCCATAGTCACTGGAAGAAAACATCCTGGCAATACAAAAACCTACCAAACAAAAATTAAAAGTCAAGATAATATATTTTTAAAAGTGGAAGTAAGAGAATTTAGCCTATTTGTTATGATCAAAGTCAACTTAAAAAATTCACCCCTCTAAGCTTGTTAATCCCTCATCAAACTTTCCAATGCTCCCAGTTCCTCAGAATATTCACTTTGGAATCTCATCCCGTCTTTAACTCTTCCTCCCTCCTCCCCTTCCACATAAGTGCTGGCTATCTCATCTGCATTAATTTCTGACATACCCCTATGCTTCCTCCTATCAATTCTCAACTCTAGTATCTAGTATCATGTATTTAGCACACATAGTCAAATACTATTTTGCTAGTTGTTTCAGGTGTTTCTTGACCACAATCTGCCAGTCCTCAGTATGAAGCACCTTGAGAGCAGGGATCATGTGCTAGGCCTGGCTTAATCAATACTTATCAGTTGGCTAGTTGATCTCTAGATGTCTAAACTAATTTGGTGGGCACTGAGGAGGTTAGCTCTAGTATCAGCCCATTACTGGTCTGAAGGATCCCAGATTATCATGAAGCTAGGTTTCCATGTGGCATGGCCCACAGAGTTATAGATAAATTGCATTCCTTCCTTTTTTTTTTTAACTCCCCCTACTCTAAATATCTCTTGTTAGGCTAAAACTGGATGTGAGGTAAGTAATCTCTAATTTTTAAAATCCTATTTTTGTCCTAGTCTCAGACTTGGAGACAGCCTTCTTCTGTTTCCACCCTCCCACCTAGCCTTCGAATGAAGATCACCTTTCATTTACCCTCTATTTATCCTGTATGTATATAATTGACTGCATGTTGTATAGACTATGTACTTCTTGACCACAGCTAATGTGTTTTCTTTTCTTTCTTTTTATCTGTAATGCTTAGCATAGTGCCTGTTTCATAGTAAGTACTTAACAAATATTTGTTGACAAGTAACCATCCTTGTATGTAGCCACTTAGATTGTATGTTGTCTTTTTAATACTAGACTGTAAGTCTCTCTCCCTTGTCATCTTTTTTCTGGCTATAGTTTAATACTAATAACTGTGTAGGCTCATACAGTACTAATAGCCTCATAGGTACTCAAAAGAATTAAACAAATAAAATGATGAATGATCTTATAAAGCCAAAGAACAGACTTAACTAAGTTATGAATGGAATAGCTGGCTCTGCACATACATATAAACTACACAAAGCTGGCCTTATATAGGCACACATACCTCAAAAAATTGTCTCTTCAGAAAAGAACATTAACTTAACATTAACATAACTGATTTTTGAAAATGAGAATATTCTTTTAAAAAAATTTCCATGTCACTAGTTTTTTCCTGGGATTGTGATGGTGCCTTTGAAAATTCAACGAGCATAATATAAGAGAACCAAAGTCACTTCTGGTCTGTTATTATTATAATAGCATGCAAACATTAATGATAAGATACTTGATACTTTATATTTTGAGCATTATGGGTACTATTTTATGTCTTATTAAAAAATTAAGGCATTTAAATCATGAGCAACTTAGCCAGTAAAATTGTATTGTTTTGAAGAACTGTTCTTGTGAGTTGTTATGTGAGGTGAATGGAGCATTAGCTATGTAATATGTGAAAAGGGGTAAGTAGAAAAGCTATATATTTTCTTCTTCATCAAGGAAGCTGTACTATAAGCATTTATACTACTTAAAATCAGTTGTTTCAAAATAATGTGAGAAATTTTGAGAAGGGGAATTACTTCTAGATCAGCATATAGGACAGATTTTATTAATTCATCATGAATTCCTTTACTTTCAGGTCTCATGGTCAGAAGAGTCCATACACACTACTTTTCTACTGAAAAAAAACCTTCTAATGGTATTAAGGCACCTACCATGTGTCAGGCACTATTATAAGCACTGGGGATACAAATAGAGGCAAAAGACAACCCCTGCCCTCCCAGAGCTTACAATCTAGATACTTAAAGTAGTATTTAAATACATTTGATTTTTAAACCTTAAGCATATAATGATATTTCAGTGAATATGGCATTTTCCACAAGCCTTTCCCCATATGAATCAGAAGTTCATTCAAAACAGCAAAAGTGCTTCAGTTCAATATGAATTTATTAAGCACCTTCTGTGAGCAAGGCCTAGAGGATATTAGAACAAAACCAGACAGTTCCAGTCTTCCACTCAGAGATAAAGCATGTAGTCTGACTAATAAATACAAAGTTTAGACAAAGTAATATGAAGTATTACCAGGTTATTTCAAGGGAGGGCCATAATAACTAGATTTGGAGGGTGGAGGCAGGAAGGGAGGGTGGAATTACAAGGCCTCTTGAAAGAGGTAGTCCCTGAGCTGTGCTTTGAAGAGACTAAGGATTCAGTAAGGAAAGGAGACACCCCCCTCCCCCTCCTGCTTTAAGGACATGTTGTTCCCCCCACCACACACACAAAATACATCTCAAAGTACACAATGAAAAATCATGACTAGCACTCTGTTCTCCTTTAGAACCACTACCTTAGTCCTACCATGAAGTCATGATGACTTAAAAAAAAAAAAACAACCAAGCAATAATCATGCTGGTTCAAAAATGCAAATATGCACAAAGGAAATTATAATGAAGCTCACCTATTTAGAGCAGCCTTGAAAAAATATTTGTTAGAATCTAAGTAGTTTGTGTTAAGTCCTTAGGTGAAGAGTCAGCATCTCAAGAGAAAGCCCTAATAGGTAACATATATTTATACACATACACATAAATGAATACACAACTTACTTATTACATTGAATGCTGTGGATTGAACATAATTTTGTTGATGAAGGAAAATGTCATGGAAAAGATTTTCCACCTCAGGCCTGACTTTGCCAGGACTGATTAAATCTTTACATGGTAGAAATCTTCAATACACTAAACATCAAGCTAACAAATAGTGCTTGTTTACACTATTAATAATGAATTTTTTTTTGGGTCAACATAAATGCTCCTCCTATCCAATCTGGAATGTTATTTCTCTAAGTAGGGCATTTAAAGAAACAAATAAAATTCTGCAAAGTGGTTTGGTGACATTTTAATTTATCCCAAGGGCGACGATACCTAACTTCCCTCTATGACCTTCTTTTTTCAGTCTAGGGGATCAAATGACGTTCGATTTATGCACGGGATGATTATTTATTGAAACAAAATTTCAATCTAAAATGAGAAAATCTGGTTCCCCCACATTCCTTTTCTAGCCTTTCCTCTCAAGCCTTCATTTTTGAGTGAACCTTAAACATAATTTCTTCCGTGCAAGTTGTTACTTGTTATGGCAAACAATTTTGAAATTACTGACCCGAGGACTGTTGGGACTGAAAATAAACAAGAATAGGAGACTGTGGCATATGGGAAGAGTGCTGCTTCTGGAATCAGAGAATCTGGCTTCAAATCTCGACTCTTCTTGCCACCTGTATGACCATAGTAAAGTCATGTACCCTTTCAGTGTCTCCCTTTCCTCATCTATAAAAGAAAGGGACTAGTTCAAATCCCCTCTAAATATGAGTCTATGACTGATACCCCCTACGTCCTATGTGTAGGTGTTTCTAAAAAGTAGTCCATCATCTTCCTTCATTTGTCCACTGGAAAACGTGAGAAAAAAGGGACCCCAAACACCCCAAATATTACCTTTTATTCCTATTTTGGGAAAGACACCCCAAACCAGAAGACACTCATGGAGGACAGCTAGGTGATATCAGCAAGCTCCATTCACTGGGGGCTATCTTGGGAAAGGTCTAAGGAGGAGGTCAAGGAGATCTCTAGGCTTTATTTTCATCTATGAAGTGAGACGGTAGGTAACTTATTTGAGGGGCAAGGGGTGAAGATAGCATGGTCTGGGACCAGAAGTAATAAAAGGCAAGAAAAGTTAGGAAAGGGATGTATAAGATCGTAGCTAGAGCTGGATGGGATCATCAAATCCAACTCCCACCCCCTTCCCCCAATTTAACAGACGAGGAAACCGGGGTTTTAAAAAGGGAAGAGACTTGCCCAAGGTCACACGGGTGGTACGGGGCAGGGAAGTAGGTAGGATCCAGATTCTTTCTGCTACGCCACGCAGCAGTTCCGGGAAACAGCACCCCTTCCCCTCGCCCCAGTCCCACTGAAGCCTCCTGACCCCCTAAGGAGTCTCCTCTCCCCTTCAGCGCTCACCTCCTTTCCCGCGGGTTTGTTTTCTCTTGCCTCCCAGCCTCAGCTGCAGCTCCTGGAGAGCGGAGAGGAAGATACCTTCCCAAGTTTGGCACAGTCCCCTGGGGGCTCGGGAGGAGGCTGGGAGGGTGGGAACAAGCGGAGCTCGGGAGTCCAGAGCACAGCCCCCGTGTCCCCGCCCCCGGGTCCTAGGAAGGCTGGGTCAGCGTCCCTGGAAGGCTGTCAGTCTCGAAAACCCCGACCCGGGCGCATAGTGGAAGACTCAGAACAGCTGCTCCTCAGGGGGGACGAGGCCGCCCAGTCTGGCGGGGGCCAGGCGGCTCGTCCCGGATTGTTCTGCGACAGGTAACAACAGGTCAGCCTGGAGAGCGGCCGCACTACCGCCCCCGGGACCTCCCTCTGTGCAACGCCACGCCCCAACGCGAGCCGGGCTGGAGCCCTTTCCTCTCTCCAGCGCTTCTAGCAAAAAGTTAGCCTTCAGGGTTGGGGGAGCAGAGGGGTGGGTCAGGAGAGAATCCACCCCGCCCAGCCTAGCCCAGCCCCAGACGTGCCAAGTCTCATTCCTCTGAGAGAGGAGGCGCCTTCTCCAGACTCCTTTCTGGGCATAGAGTGGGCAAAAGAGAACCCTCAAGAACCCGATTTCCAACTAGGGATGGAAAGGCTGGTTGGACGTGGTCGTCTCAGGTTCCCCCTTCCTCTTAGCAGTTCTCTCCTCTCGGTCCCTCCAGTTTTTCTCTGAGACCTTGGGGAGCTGGGATTGAACTTCTGAAATTCTGCCAAAGATGCACCCTGGTGATTCAAGTTTGGCTACTTTGCACACCCTCCAGCTACAGGTTTCCCACTGGGTTCTTTCTGGAGGGCTCAAAAACCAGTTTTGTTTTGCCTTGTTTTTCTGGCTGCTGGCTCCACTCTTGCTCAAAGACAGTTCCCTTCCTCGAGACCAAAACTGGTTGAAAGGGCAATGATTATTTTCATATCCAGGAGGCTGTTATTTTTATTTATTTATTTATTTTTTGCGGGTGGAGTGAGGGGAAGGAAAAAAAGCCAAGATCCATCTGAGTAACAAAATGACGTAAACTCCACCTCCCTCCCTAGTCCCAACCCAAATGTGGGGTGTAGTCCTTTTCAGACAGGAGGGGAGCAACAAAGAAGGGAAATGTACTACTGCTTTGTCAACTCACCGTCTGTCTCTCCGCCTTCCCCCTCAAAAAAAAAATCCGATGAAGTAATGACTTCAGATTTCCTGTGATGGCTCATCCAGTGAATTTGCAAAGTCCGGACATCCCTGTTCTATCTTTGTCACTCACCACTCCTTCATTCCCTTCTGTAGGGTTAGTAGTTAGTCTGTCAAATTCTAGAGCTCTTCTGGAAATCTGATCTAGTTTCAAATGGAGTTTACCCTCACTTTTGTCTGTGTTGAGAGTGTTAAATTAATCCAGCTTGCTAGATCATTTTCATGTAGGGTCTACTGTTCCTCTAATATTATAAGGTGTAGTAATTTAGCATCAAAGATATACTAAGCAGGTAGCTAGGTCCGGATTAATGTCAGAATAATGAGAAATTCGATTTAGGGCAAATTATAAAATACTAGGTTGCAATTAATGAGAGGCTGAAACAGGGTAGCTTAATCTTCACTGTGCACTTACCTGTCACTGGCTGTGGATGTGATGTGCTGTTATAATCATATTGTCAAATGTTTTTATTTGTTTTTTATTTTTTAAAGATTTTTTTCTTTTAGAAAAATGCTAAAACTTAAATACATAATAAGAAAAGAGAAATAAACATTGTAAACTTAAATATAAAATAACAAAAAAAACAAAAAAAGTCACGTACACAGCAGAACATAGGAGAGGATTCAAATTATATAACCATACCTTTTCATTTCAAGAAAGCCTATATATTAAATACTGTCCATTATGTTGAAAGCTGTCCATCTTTTCTTTGTTTCCTTGTAGGTTTTCTTTTGTTCTCTGCTGTACACTTTTTACTTTGTTCTTTTTCCTCCTCCCTCCTCACCACCCCAAGGCTGCAGTTGAGCTTTGGATATATTTGTATATAGGTATAGGTGTATACATACACTTATACCTATATACACATAAATGCATATATATATATATATATTTTCCCTAAGAGATTCTATTCATAATCTTTGCTGTTTTTATTTTTTAAAAAATAACCCATAACAAAATGGATAAAGGAAGAATACTTCAGATGAAATCAATGATAGCATAAGAAAGAAGTCATTTTATTACATCAGAATAAAAATTTTATGTAATTAAACAGTATAAATGTGGTTAATTTAAAATGGGAGTAGGTTGGAATGGTTGGATCTGCAGTGCAAAATACAATAAAACATGTTGAAATAAAAGAAAAAACTAAATTGCTTCAACTTTTTGTGCTTTGTAAATAACTACAAGAAACACCAGTGTTATGACAGTCAATAGCCAATGACAATAAATATGTATTAAGTGCCTACTGTGTACTAAGTTCTAGGGATTAAAAAGATAAATTTTGGAAAGCAGTCTGGAATCAAGCAAATAAAATGACTAAGATTTCTAGACCTTTGAGCCAGAGAAGCCATTATGGGACTTACATCCCAAGGAAACTAAGTTAAGTCCCATATACACAGAAATATTTATAGCAGCACTTTTTTTGTGATGGCAAAGAATGAGAAATTGAGTAGATACCCATTAATTGGGGAATGGTTAAACAGATTGTGTATATGAATGTGATGGAATATCACAGGGCTGTAAGAAATTATGTATATGATGAACACAGAGAAGCACGGAAAGATCTACATGAACTGATGCAGAGTGAAGTAAGCAGAGCCAAGAAAACAATATACACCATAACTGTAAAAATGTAAATGGAAAGAACAACCACACCAAAAAATTAAAAGTGAATGTAACAAGTCAAAGATCAAGCATGGCTCAAATGAAGAGATATGAGAAGACACCCCTAACCTACCATTTCATTCAGGTTGAGGTCCAGAGGTGTAATGCATCACACATTTTCAGACATTTTCAATGTATCCATCAGTTGTGCTGGGTTTTTCTTTCCCCTTTTTAATAAAGTACTATTTGTTACCTGGGATGACTTTCAAGAAAGAAGAAAGGGAAAGATATTGGGGTTAACTATGCTGATGGAAGAAACAGAAGACATTGATAAAAACAAAAAAAAAGAGGAGGGGGAAAAGAAAGGTAAAAGACAGCCCCTGCTCTCAAGGACTTCACAATCTAATGGGAGGGGGGAAGACAAGGTGCAAATAACTATGGACAAATAAGCTATACAGAGGATAAACAGGAAAAACAGAGGGAAGGCACTAGAATTAAGAGATCTGGAAAGTTTTCTTGTAGAAGGTGATGTTTTAGCTAGGACTTGAAGGCAGGAGGCAGAAATGAGGAAGGTAAGCATTCTTTTCATGAGGGACAACCAGTGAAAATTCTCTGAGTAGGGAGATGGAGTATCTTTTTGGAAGAACAGCAAGAAGGCCAGTATCATTGGACCAAAGAGTAATTGGGGGAGTGGACTGTGAGATTGGAAAGGTGGGAGAGGCCAAGACTTTGAATGCCAGAGGATTTGTATTTAAAGGTGATAGGAATCCATTAGAGTTTACTGAATAGAGTGTCATGGTGACCTGGACAGACCTGTGCTTTAGGAAGATCACTTTGACAGCTGATTTGACAATGGACTAGAGTGGCCAGAGACATGTGGCATGCAGGCCCATTAGGAGGCTATTGCAATAGTTCAGGCATGAGGTGATGAGTGCCTGGACCAAGGTGGTGGTAGTGTCAGGAGAGAGAAAAACCATATGCCAGAGATAGTAAGAAAGTAAAAATTGATAGGCTATAGCAACAGATTGGGGGATTAAAGATAGTAAGGAGGCAAGGATGACACCTAGGTTGTGAGCCTGGTGGCCTGAGAGGATGTCAATGCCCATGAAATGGAATGTTTTTGCTGTATGGATTGAAGATTGTAAATAAAAACACATTCATCTTAGCAATGCAGCCATTTGGATAAAAGTTTTGAGTTTATATAAAGCAGTGAACAAAAATTGAAATTAAGGACTAAAGAAACTTTTACTGTAAGCTTTGGTTGGTTCAGTGACTTTTAAAATTGAACTATGCCCAAAGGGCTATAAAAATGTGCATTCACTTTGACCCAGCAATAGTAATTCTAGGAGCTGTATCCCAAAGAGATCATAAACATGGGAAAAGGACCCACATGTATAAAAATATTCATAGCAGCTCTTTCTGTGGTGGCAAAGAATTGGAAATTGAGGGGATGCCCATCAAGTGAGGAATGGCTGAACAAACTTTGGTGCATGAATGTAATGGAATACTATTGAAAATAATAATATATTGAAATAATAATGAGCAAGTGGACTTCAGGAAAACCAGGAAAGACTTGTATGGACTAATGCTGAGTGAAGTGAGCAGAACCAAGAGAATGTTGTACGCAGTAACAGCCACCTTGTGTGATGACTTTGATAGACTTAGCCCTTCTCAGCAATGCAAGGATCTAAGACATCTCCAAAAGTCTCATGATAGAAAATGCTATCCACATCCAGAGAAAGAGCGATGTAGTTTGAATGCAGATCAAAGCATACTATTTGCTCTTTTTTTCTTCTGTTCTGTTTTGTTTCTTCTTTCTTGTGGTTCCTCCTACTGGTTCTAATTCTTCTTTACAACATGACTAATATGAAAATGTTTAATAGGAATGTATATGTAGAGCCTATATCAGATTGTATGCTGTCTTGGGAACGGAGGTGGGAAGGGAGGGGGAGAAAATTTAAAACTCAAAAGCTTATGGAAGTGATTGTTGAAAACTAAAAATAAATTAACTTAAAATTTATACTGTTATGGAAATGCTTGTTTTGTCCCACAAATTAAAAATTAAATAAAAATTTAAAAAAAGGTATACTTTCAGAACTTATATTTCTAAGAAACAAAAAGTTCATCCTGATTTGGTGGTGGAGTGGCAGAGCACTAGGTTTGGAGTTAGGAAGATCTGAGTCCAAATCTGGCCTTAGAACCTTACTAGCTATGTAATCCTGGGCAAATCACTTAAACCCAATCTGCCTAAGTTCCTCATCTGTAAAATGAAGACACATTGGAGAAGGAAATGACAAACCACATGAGTATCTTTGCCAAGAAAACTCAATGTATGAATATGGGGTTATGTAAAGTCAGACACTACTGA